ACTGTTTCATAAAGATGTTCATTGACAGGTGAAATGACTAACAAAACACTGTGTAAGCACAAACTTGTATATAGAATGTTCCATATGCCGAAGTAAGTATTGATGATTGATATTAATAATCGTGAATCACCCAAGTTGTCTTGTTACTGTGATTCAATTGACTTAAGGCAAATATTGTGGAGAGTATAGTAAATACTAAAACAGTTTAGAAAGAATTTCACATCAGACATGTGAAACAGCAAAACAGGATGTGACCATGTTGTGTTCCGGCCACTCTCACTGAGGTACATATCGCTGGGGAAATGTCCCTGACTACTGTCCAAATATTTACCCACAAACAATAGATTATTGCAACAGACATGGCTTAGTTCACTGTCAACATATTCTTGGAGATCTGTCACTTTGACACAAAACACAACATCTACCGGCACACACCTGGTGTGGATTTCCATACAGACATCCCTTTACTACACATCTACCTGTATACACCTGCTGCAGATTTCCATACAGATATCCCTTCACTACACATCTACCTGTATACACCTGGTGCAGATTTCCATACAGACATCCCTTCACTACACATCTACCTGCATACACCTGGTGTAGATTTCCACACAGATACTTCCCTTCACTACACATCTACCTGTATACACCTGGTGTAGATTTCCATACAGATAATTCCTATCACTACACATCTACCTGCATACACCTGGTGTAGATTTCCATACAGATACTTCCCTTCACTACACATCTACCTGTATACACCTGGTGTAGATTTCCATACAGATACTTCCCATCACTACACATCTACCTGCATACACCTGGTGTAGATTTCCATACAGATAATTCCCTTCACTACACATCTACCTGCATACACCTGGTGTAGATTTCCATACAGATACTTCCCTTCACTACACATCTACCTGCATACACCTGGTGTAGATTTCCATACAGACATCCCTTCACTACACATCTACCTGCATACACCTGGTGTAGATTTCCATACAGATACTTCCCTTCACTACACATCTACCTGCATACACCTGTTGTAGATTTCCATACAGATATCCCTCCCATCACTACACATCTACCTACATGCACCTGGTGTAGATTTCCATACAGATAATTCCCATCACTAAACATCTACCTGCATGCACCTGGTGTAGATTTCCATACAGATACTTCCCATCACTACACATCTACCTGCATGCACCTGGTGTAGATTTCCATACAGATAATTCCCATCACTACACATCTACCTGTATACACCTGTTGCAGATTTCCATACAGATAATTCCCATCACTACACATCTACCTGCATACACCTGGTGTAGATTTCCATACAGATACTTCCCATCACTACACATCTACCTGCATACACCTGGTGTAGATTTCCATACAGATAATTCCCATCACTAAACATCTACCTGCAGGTAGATATGTAGTGAAAGGAAGTATCCTTACCTTATCCGTATGGAAATCTGCAACAGGTGTCAGTTGCTATGTTAACCTTCATTACACTTGCAGTTACCTTAATAACACATGGACAGACTGTTGCCAAGTTAACCTTCACAACACTTGCAGTTACCTGTTACCTTATCTGTATGGAAATCTGCAACAGCTGTATGCAGGTAGATGTGTAGTGATGGGAGGTCCCATCTTCATATTCATATCATGATGACAGAGTCACCAACCTTGTGTAACCTTCAGAATTCTGCCAACTGTCATGGTATCTTTCATGGCACTGACAGATGCCATGTTACCATAATAACACAGTGAGTTCATTAATAAGGTGTTTCGCCATTTGTAGTAATATTCCAACAATATCATGGCGGGGGGCACCAGAAATGGGCTTCACACATTGTACCCATGTGGGGAATCTAATGCAGATCTAAACACTCGGCTACCCAACCACCCCTAGACACACAGTTGCAATGTTAACCTTCACGACACTTGCAGTTACCTTAATAACACAGTGACAGACAGTTGCTATGTTAACCTTCATTACACTTGCAGTTACCTTAATAACACAGTGACAGACAGTTGCTATGTTAACCATTCACGACACTTGCAGTTACCTTAATAACACAGTGACAGACAGTTGCCATGTTAACCTTCACGACACTTGCACTTACCTTAATAACACAGTGACAGACAGTTGCCATGTTAACCTTCACGACACTTGCACTTACCTTAATAACACAGTGACAGACAGTTGCTATGTTAACCTTCATTACACTTGCAGTTACCTTAATAACACAGTGACAGACAATTGCCATGTTAACCTTTATTACATTTGCAGTTACCTTAATAACACAGTGACAGACAGTTGCTATGTTAACCTTCACGACACTTGCAGTTACCTTAATAACACAGTGACAGACAGTTGCTATGTTAACCTTCACGACACTTGCAGTTACCTTAATAACACAGTGACAGACAGTTGCTATGTTAACCTTCATTACACTTGCAGTTACCTTAATAACACAGTGACAGACAGTTGCTATGTTAACCTTCATTACACTTGCAGTTACCTTAATAACACAATGACAGACAGTTGCTATGTTAACCTTCACGACACTTGCAGTTACCTTAATAACACAGTGACAGACAATTTCCATGTTAACCTTCATTACACTTGCAGTTACCTTAATAACACTGTGCCAGACAGTTGCCATGTTAACCTTCATTACACTTGCAGTTACCTTAATAACACAGTGACAGACAGTTGCTATGTTAACCTTCATTACACTTGCAGTTACCTTAATAACACAGTGACAGACAATTGCCATGTTAACCTTCATTACACTTGCAGTTACCTTAATAACACAATGACAGACAGTTGCCATGTTAACCTTCACGACACTTGCAGTTACCTTAATAACACAGTGACAGACAGTTGCCATGTTAACCTTCATTACACTTGCAGTTACCTTAATAACACAGTGACAGACAGTTGCTATGTTAACCTTCATTACACTTGCAGTTACCTTAATAACACAGTGACAGACAGTTGCTATGTGATTCTTCATTACACTTGCAGTTACCTTAATAACACAGTGACAGACAGTTGCTATGTCAACCTTCATTACACTTGCAGTTACCTTAATAACACAGTGACAGACAATTGCCATGTTAACCTTCATTACACTTGCAGTTACCTTAATAACACAATGACAGACAGTTGCTATGTTAACCTTCACGACACTTGCACTTACCTTAATAACACAGTGACAGACAATTGCCATGTTAACCTTCATTACACTTGCAGTTACCTTAATAACACTGTGACAGACAGTTGCCATGTTAACCTTCATTACACTTGCAGTTACCTTAATAACACAGTGACAGACAATTGCCATGTTAACCTTCATTACACTTGCAGTTACCTTACCACCCCTAGACAAGTGCCAGACAGTTGCAATGTTAACCTTCACGACACTTGCAGTTACCTTAATAACACAGTGACAGACAGTTGCCATGTTAACCTTCACGGCACTTGCAGTTACCTTAATAACACAGTGCCAGACAGTTGCCATGACAAACTATAAAACACTAACAGTTGCGATTGTAACCCTTATTCTTTTGTGACAGATATCATAGATAGTTGCTGTGGTAACTCAAAGACAGAGCACACGTCAATCTACAGTTAGATTTTTCACCAGACCTGGAATACAATCATAAGCTTAACCTCCTTGATATAATGAATTATGATGAATCATGAATACCAACAGGAGATAGTGTTGCTCAGTAGCAACAGGTTCGAACTTGAAAAAGTATTCAATATGTGAAGGATTGTTTACATGGCTATCCAATAATTGATATGAAGGCTTGATTAATGAAGCAGAAAAAGCTGGGCACATACCATGAGCATGATCAATACTGTACTCACCAGTGTCACTGGGAGAACCTCATACTGTCAACTGTCATAGCAAACCATATAAAAATACTAAGACTAAAACACATCAACATGATTGAGGCTTTCCATATCTGACATGGTCTAGATCTCTTGTATTTCAGCTCTTGGTGACTCTACCAAGATAATGACACTGTTATATCTGACATGGTCTATGTCTCTTGTATATTACAGCTCTTGGTGACTCTACCAAGACAATGACACTGTTATATCTGACATGGTCTAGATCTCTTGTATTACAGCTCTTGGTGACTCTACCAAGATAATGACACTGTTATATCTGACATGGTCTAGATCTCTTGTATACTACAGCTCTTGGTGACTCTACCAAGACAATGACACTGTTATATCTGACATGGTCTAGATCTCTTGTATTACAGCTCTTGGTGACTCTACCAAGACAATGACACTGTTATATCTGACATGGTCTAGATCTCTTGTATTACTGCAGCTCTTGGTGACTCTACCAAGATAATGACACTGTCTATATCTGACACCAAGACAATGGTCTACATGGTCTATCTCTTGTATATTACAGCTCTTGGTGACTCTACCAAGACAATGACACTGTTATATCTGACATGGTCTAGATCTCTTGTATTACAGCTCTTGGTGACTCTACCAAGATAATGACACTGTTATATCTGACATGGTCTAGATCTCTTGTATTATTACAGCTCTTGGTGACTCTACCAAGATAATGACACTGTTATATCTGACATGGTCTAGATCTCTTGTATTACAAGCTCTTGGTGACTCTACCAAGATAATGACACTGTTATATCTGACATGGTCTAGATCTCTTGTATTACAGCTCTTGGTGACTCTACCAAGATAATGACACTGTTATATCTGACATGGTCTAGATCTTTGTATTTCAGCTCTTGGTGACTCTACCAAGATAATGACACTGTCATATCTGACAGGGTCTAGATCTTTTGTATTACAGCTCTTGGTGACTCTACCAAGATAATGACACTGTCATATCTGACATGGTCTAGATCTTTTGTATTACAGCTCTTGGTGACTCTACCAAGATAATGACACTGTTACTCCTGACAAGGTCAACGTGTCTTGTACTCACTCTGCTATTGCTCTCTGTGATAAGTCTTCAAGATCAGCAACATCAAATAAATGTGTGTCTTGGAGGCCAAAATGGTTCTTCAAAGAGGTCAAGAACACATTGAGGTTGTCCTGTAATGAAACAAAAGGAAATTGATAAATGATAAGAACAAACTATTGCCGTGACTTGATGGTCACAGCTCACTCTCCAATGTGGACTCCAAAGTTCATATGTCAAATGTAGTGCTTTCAGTTGAGTTTTTGAGCACCATAGCTCAGATAACCAACACATCCTCAGGTTGTCAAGGGTCAAGCTGATAGCGTGGCCTGGAAATCTTAAACTATTTTCTCAGTTACTGCATGGTTTGACAACAGTTAAACACGAAAACATTGGATTATTTATGACACAAATTGTAGTAAGGGGTATAGGGTGGACATGTCTATTTGTACCAGTAAAAAAAGCTCACCCACTAAGATGACACAATTTAACATGGACACCCCATTCAGAAACAGAAAACTGATTCAGGGCCAATCAGATCTTATTCTAACCTCTTAATGCCAAATACCAGGCTGGAAAACTACAAGTACCATCGTTACATCCTTTGTATGACATGATGACTGATATTATGTTCCTTGTGCAGACACTCTATCCCGGAGGCGATCTATACACTTCACATGTAGATACTACAACATTACTGTCTCACTGAATATGACGAAGTGTCTGTGATGCAGGATATGTTTTTCATATGAATGAATTTTTGTGGGGATAAACCCACACTCTTTGCATATTGAAGTCTCTTACCTGACTTGTCTTGGCCATTGAAACTCATAATAAATTGATCAAAAGAGCTGAAGTATTTGAAGGTGTCACATGTGCACTATACAACACTAAAGCTGTTTGACATTGCTGATGCATGGAGGTTTATACAACACTAAAGCTGTTTGACATTGCTGATGCATGGAGGTTAGAATGAATCAAACCTGAACTTATGTTCATAGCAGTATGTATGTGTGTATACATACACTCATGGAAACGAATAAGGGAACACATGAAAGTACAAGTGTTCCTTTCTTTATTTCCAGAATTTCACTCACAGTGCCATTTATTCCTTGTAAAGACACCTGGAAAAGAATAAAGGAACATTGTACGTTCATGTGTTCCCTTATTCGTTTCCATGAGTATATATAATTATACCAACAGGACCTAATGTCCTTAACATAAGGCATGACTTCCATTTTTCTCCTTGTTAACTCTACCTGCACCCAAGTGATGACACCTATTTCTGTACACCTGACTGGCTTGTTAACTCTCCCTGCACCAAGTGATGACACCTATTTCTATACACCTGACTGGCTTCTTAATTCTACCTGCACCAAGTGATGACACCTATTTCTATACACCTGACTGGCTTGTTAACTCTACCTGCACCAAGTGATGACACCTATTTCTATACACCTGACTGGCTTGTTAACTCTACCTGCACCAAGTGATGACACCTATTTCTATACACTAAACTGGCTTCTTAATTCTACCTGCACCCAAGTGATGACACCTATTTCTGTACACCTGACTGGCTTCTTAACTCTACCTGCATCCAAGTGATGACACCTATTTCTGTACACCTGACTGGCTTGTTAACTCTACCTGCACCAAGTGATGACCCCTATTTCTGTACACTTGACTGGCTTGTTAACTCTACCTGCAATCAAGTGATGACCCCTATTTCTGTACACCTGACTGGCTTGTTAACTCTACCTGCACCCAAGTGATGACACCTATTTCTGTACACCTGACTGGCTTGTTAACTCTACCTGCAACCAAGTGATGACACCTATTTCTGTACACTTGACTGGCTTGTTAACTCTACCTGCAATCAAGTGATGACCCCTATTTCTGTACACCTGACTGGCTTCTTAACTCTACCTGCACCCAAGTGATGACACCTATTTCTGTACACCTGACTGTCTTGTTACTTGAGTGAGATTTCCCATGAATGAACAGTCATGTACAACAAAGACACTAGAAACTTTGAAACCTGTTCACAAATGTCTGTCAAGTGATATTTGTTTAGTGTTTTACTAATCATTCACACTATTCTACTCTTTCTTTTCACCATGAGCATCCAACCTCTAAATGACGACAAACTGTTCAGATTGTTCTGGAGCAAGTGACATGTATTTGAAGATAATCTGTGACACATCACCCTCATGAGAATGTTGTCTACTACCGTTCACCTGAAGGTTGTCAGTAAGGTCAGGCTGTTGTCTAATGGAGGCCCACTTACATGACATTCTCTCAAATACTTAAAACTAAAACCACAGCATGGAAAGGTTCAGGTAATATATTCCCTTACATGACATTCTCACAAATACTTAAAACTAAAACCACAGCCTGGAAAGGTTCAGGTAATATATTCCAGCCTTAATGAATCTGTGAATCCAGTATGTGAATGAGTATGAAAAACATGCAGAAAATCTGCAACAGCAGTAACTGAATTAAACAATGTATGTCCCACACACCCCACCTATGGTACATTACGCTGCACTCGGACAGCAATGAGAGTATGTAAAATATCCTTATCAGTTGAAAAACAATGTCATTCAAAAACGAACTATTTCATTGTGAAACAAAAGCATTCTTTTCCACTCAATTCAAACGTGTAACATATGACAATATGATTGATGGCAGTACCCCATGGCAAACTATAGAATATACCCATGGTACATGACACAACACACACACGGTTCATTACACAACACCATGGTACATGACACAACACACACGGTACATGACACAACACACAAAGTACATTACACAACACACACGGTAAATTTCACAACACACACATGGTACATTACACAACACACAGTACATTACACAACACACACATGGTAAATTACACAACACACACACGGTACATTACACAACACACACATGGTACATTACACAACACACACATGGTACATTACACAACACCATGGTACATGACACAACACACACACGGTACATTACACAACACACAAAGTACATTACACAAACACACACGGTAAATTTCACAACACACATGGTACATTACACAACACACAGTACATTACACAACACACAGTACATTACACAACACACACATGGTACATTACACAACACACACGGTACATTACACAACACCATAGTACATGACACAACACACACACGGTACATCACACAACACACACATGGTACATTACACAACACACACATGGTACATTACACAACACACACATGGTACATTACACAACACACACATAGGTACATGACACAACACACACATCACACAACACAAGGTACATTACACAACACACACATGGTACATTACACACACACATGGTACATTACACAACACACACACGGTACATTACACATGGTACATTACACACACACATGGTACATTACACAACACACACATGGTACATTACACATTACACAACACACACACAAGGTACATTACACAACACACACAAGGTACATTACACAACACACACATGGTACATTACACAACACACACATGGTACATTACACAACACACATGGTACATCACACAACACACATGGTACATTACACAACACACACATGGTACATTACACAACACACACATGGTACATTACACAACACACACATGGTACATTACACAACACACACATGGTACATTACACAACACACACATGGTACATCACACAACACACACATGGTACATTACACAACACACATGGTACATGACACAACACACACATGGTACATTACAACAACACACACATGGTACATTACACAACACACATGGTACATTACACAACACACACACACATGGTACATTACACAACACACACAGGTACATTACACAACACACACACACACACATGGTACATTACACAACACACACACACGGTACATGACACAACACACACAGCACATTACACAACACACTGACATTACACAACACACACACGACGGTACATCACACAACACACACGGTACATGACAACACACACAGTACATTACTGAACACACACATGGTACATTACACAACACATGGTACATCACACAACACACATGGTACATTACACAACACACACAGTACATTACACAACACACATGGTACATCACACAACACACACATGGTACATTACACAACACACAGCACATTACTGAACACACACACACGGTACATTACTGAACACACACACACATGGTACATACATGGTACATCACACACACATACACACACACGGTACATTACAGAACAGATACACACATGGTACATATCACACACACACATACACGGTACAGTACAGAACAGATACACACATGGTACATGGTAATAGTAGGAGGTATAAAGTACAGGTTTTCTGCTTTTAGCCACATAAGCACATTCAGTCACCAAGACAATCTATGACTCTCCTAAACTCCACAGGGAATACATACATATTGCCATGTTGCTTGGGCACATCACCAGATACTGTCACAATGACTCCCTTCTGTATGTTACATCGAATAATGAACTTGGTTATCTCCCTTGGTCATGTATACATGTGGTGGCCAAAGCATATGAAACCACCAGCTGGGCCTATACAAGAAAAGTCAATATTTCCATGACACACCAGATGTAGCTGGAATGCATGGTATGTGCTTAGGTCAACATCCATGTCATAGAAACAAAACAAAGACACACGATGGATGATTAGAAGAGCTCTTACATATTATTTCTGTATCATTCCTCACCACACTATACATCCAGTGGACATGCGAGGTAGTGTATCATGGCAAGCTTGTTGCTTGTGTTCTCACTTCACTTTTATACCGTCTGTGGGCATCATGGGTAAGACTTGGCCTCCAGTATAACCAAATGAAAGGAGGATTGGATGCTCTGATTTGTGACTGATTGTATACCAATATTTCCAGATGGTTCGAATCAATTCTGTATCTTTAATCTATTCACCCTCTAATGCATCACAGCCTCAGTGTTCTGCTAATAATCATGCAGTGACACCAACGTGTTTGTTGTAGCAAAGCCCATGGACCTACATACAGTACTGAGTATACCTTTCAATACAACAACCTCAGGTACTCATCTCCATGGCTGTCACTAACAGTCATTAGT